TTGTAGAGGAAGGGAGAGGGTTATAGAATATTATTTGTTTTATAACTTAGTAGATATTGATGTGTATATAACTATCTTTGGTACAAATTTATTAGTCAAAGAGTGTTACAATTATGTCATGTAGATGAAAGTTTTTAATTTACAAAAAACTGAATTGGAAAAAATACTGTTATAGGAGGGATTGGAGGGACGATATAGAATATCATTAGTTACTGTATAGTGTAACTTGGATACAGTATATCGGATACACATACATTTCGATACAAAATGTAGTTCAATTACATCATTAGAAAGCTACATTCAAGCTAGATTAAAGTTACAAAATAAATATCAACATACTTTTCAAAATTACGTAAAAAGTATAGGGAAACTCCGGTATATAATATATACGCCGCGCCATACCTAACAAAAACTTAATTTTTATCAAGTTATTATTCACTATATTTGTTTTTATAAATATTTGTTTTTTACATAAAAAATTTGTGTCGTATTTTTGTCGTATAGAGATGGAATGTACGGTTTATAAAAAATTTACAAGTAGTGTTTGGAAATAAGACATAAAATACAATAACTTATAAAATGTGTTCACACAAAGTTTTATTAAGAAATAAGAATGATAGACGAGGGTGAATCGGATTATTTTTTTTTCATAGGTAAAAAAATAATAATAAATTAATTCTGTTATTAAGTTTTACTATAAATTTGTAATCTCTACACCTTTGGCTTCAGTTTTACATAATAAAATAACATATAAACATAATATTTTTTATTGCACAACGCAAAAATTAAAATAGGCAATTATTCGATTTGCTACAAAATTGAGGGGCGAAACGAATCACCAGTTTACATGTAAAAATAAATAAATAAATAAATTCTTTGAAATCTTTGAATTCTTTGAATTCTTTTAAACAAACTCTAAAATAAACTTGTTATATAAAATAAAAATAGTTTACTTAACACACAAATTACAAGTAAATGGTCCTTTTCTCTTCTAGCACAGCTTTCGCATCATTCTTCAGTTTTGTTGCATTGAATTCGGCCGACAGGTGGATGGACAAATTTTTTAGTGCAATAAATGCAATACCAATCAATCTACATAAATTGGGTTTACTCTTAATCTTTAGTTTTACTCCTAATTTCATGATCCGAATCACCCCGAAAGAGGTTATCTGATTAACCCCATATGTAAACTTCATAAACTACATTAATTTTTCCAAAACATCTTAATGATATTATTAAACTATTTACTAAGCTGATTTAAAAAACTATACATTGCAAAAATTATTATAATTTACACATATTTTAACATATCTTTTTGTTATAAACTCACAAAATCGAGATCGTGACTTTACATGAGAGACGAAATTTCTTCGTGCTATTCACGACCTCTACGCTTATATCATCGATTGACATTAAATCACACGCAATATAAAATTGTTACCTGTTGTTTCCGCTGCAGGGGGAGCGCACGGAAGTAACTAGCATAATAAAACAGATCGCATGAAAGAAAAAGGTAATGATAACCGTCTCAAAGCTTATAATGATCCGATTCGCCCTGTGATCCGATTCGCCGGTCTACCCTAAATATATATACGAATAGATAATAGATAATAATTCTAATTTTTTGCATGTATTATAAGTGTCATGATACATGTTTTATGTATTGCATTTATTCAATGACTGAATCCAATATGCGCACTTTGTTTGCTTTGGGCATAAATCCCGCTCGCTAAAAATGTCCTAAACAAGGATATACAAGATAATATCAAGCTGAATAAAGAATACAAGAGCTAAGCATTTTTATTTTGATATATTCCATTCTTTACTATTTCTTTACATTTATGTATCATCAATAACTATTAACACTGCCTACAGTAATTTTTATATATTGTGATATATGATTGCGCTATTTATTGCATTGACAAATCGACTCAACTGAGAGTGGTTTTATTAATATTAACAGTAAAAAATTGAAATCATAATACATTACTAATATAACATAAAGTATATAACAGAGTAGTTGCGGGCAAATTACCCCCATTTCTATCCTTTCTGACGGTATAAATATCGGAGTTACTCTGCACCTATATAACTGTCTGTTACATGTAAAATTGAGATGCAACTTTGTGTAGTAAACACTATCGATTAATGATCATGTTATCTAAGCAGTTGGTTTTTCTAAGAAATAATTTTGACGATTACTTCAGAACGCAACGCAAATTATACAAGATATCGTGGTATTCCACAATCCCTTATTATCACTTTCTTTCCTTTATGTAATTGCGCGAAAGAAAATTTTTGATTTATTTGGGCTTATTAGTTTTACTTATTAAATATCAATATCAATTTACATATTAAAGCTGTGTTCAAAAACCTCGCTCTGAGTAAAAGAGTTAATTAATGGCTTGGCATTCATAATATAAATGAATCATAGAGCTATATTCATATTATCAAGAGAAGACCTCGGAGTTATATTAACATCTTAAAACAGATTAAAATTTAAAATAAGAACCAATTATGAATATTGGTTCATAAATTAACTCTTTTATTTAAAGTTTTGTTTTTATTTAAAGTAATGTTTTGGAACGTAGTCTAAATAAGTTTTATTCAAAATTAACTAAAAAATTAATTTCTGTTATTTAGAATTATATTTTTGTGGTAAATGTTAAACTTTTTAAATTTGCATTTCAAAAATGAGATAATCATGATTTAATGTTGAGATTATAATATTATATTAAATATATAGCTAGATATAACTTATAATAGATAATTTGTAAACACTAATGAATTTAAGACATACAAACAACGTATATTTCTTTTATGTATTAATCAAGAGAATCACATTTTATTTTATCAATTCATTATAAATTAACAACTACTTACTTTTAGCAACTTTTCAATTGTATATGCATAGATGTATAAGTTGTTATAGTCATTAGCGATAGCAGGTATTAGCATTTTCCAAAGATATGAAATCGAATTACAAACCGTATCGAAGACGAGGGTATCGGATTCTCTTCTCTTAAAGAGTGTCACGCTCGTGCGTCACTATTTGCGTCACTATTTGCTTGATGACATTGCATCATATATATTTATTACGCCACCATTGTTAAACGTACGCATACAAATCAGCTGTTTGAGAAATCTTCTTTTCCGCAGTAAAATGTTGTTCATTCGAGTAATCTTTTATGATGTTTTGACTACTGAATATCTCCAGCCGTCGAGCAAAGTCAGTCTAGCCATCTACCGCGCAGAACATTGTATAATATATTCCAGATACTCATTAATGACTGTCTCAATGTCAGTCTTGTTAATAAAAATATGATGATTTTGCGAAGAGATAAAATCCGAATGACTTCTCCGATTATTAATACCAACAGTTTTGTTAGAATTAATTGCAATTGATTCAAATGTTTATGATAGGATGTTCCATTCTGTAAAAAATCGATCTTCCCAAAAATAGTGATTTTAAATCGATCTATTTTTATGAAAAATTGATTTTTCTAACTAAAAGAGACTATTTTTAATTGATTTCTTTGCAAAGATTCACTTCTTTTTAATTATTTCGAAGTAATGTTTTTGTAAAGAATTGATTTTTAATGATCCGAAAATCGCACATTCCTAGTTCATGATTGTGAAATAACGATTTTTGTTTTAAGAAAATCATATTTCTTAAAATTGTTAAAACTTTAAAAAATCATATTATAGTCTGATAAAAGACTAATTAATAACCCTTTGAGGAGCGAAGTTTTCTAACAAACTTAAAGAAACCTTGTTAAAGATTTTCGAGATCGATAAAATTGATTTTGGTCATAGAATTTTTTAATTCCAATTTCAAAAAACAATTTGTTTATTATGAAACTCACTTTTAGGAGATATTATACCTATTTGTAAGTAACTACATGGATAAATAAATTTTCATTGCATTCATGTAAATATTCAAAATGTTCCATATTTTTAATTAATGATTATTTTTAATTAATGATCCAGAAATGTTATTTTGAATTTAACCACATTTTCAATGTTCGATAAAAATATCGCAATTACGCTTAAGTAGACCATATTGAATACAGTTATCTTATATTGTGTTTGTCATATTGTGTACAGAGTTATTCATTTTTATCTTAACAGGCAAATATTCCGAAAATATGCAAATTTGCTAAAAAAATATTCCAAATAGAAGTTGTATGGTAAAAGGGAATGTATGTGTTGTGACCTCTTTAATGTTGTAAAATCTCAATAAAACATCACGAAATTAACATATATTCTTTAAGATTTTTCTGCCATATTCATCATCAGTGATACACACTGAATTTTTATTAGCTGTATGCTTTACTTATGATTGTCACTTATAGTGTCAACATTAATGTATTATTTTATATGATATTTAAAGAAGGATTTATGATGACAGCGAAAGTATTAAACTGAATTCTAATCATTTCTGGTTATCGTAAGATGGAAGAATTATTGTAGTATAGATCATAATTAAATGTATTTGATGGATCTTTTTTGATGGATCTTAGATGCTTAAATATTTTTATTTAAATTTATAGTTGTCATTTTTTAATTGCCTGCCGAATTGATTTTTTTGGACTTAAAAACGCAACTGAACTTATTGTAATAATATCATAAATTGACAAGCAATTTAATAATTTAATGTTCAATTGGCAGCACTTTAAAAAGATCTTAATGTAATGATCCCAATGAAAAGTCCGAAAATAAATTCGGCGCGTTCAAATGACTTTACGTATAGTATATAAATTCACATGAAAATATTTAGCACCTAAGATCCAGCTTCGTTATAGGCGTTATTCTTTACTTATGTATATTATACAATCTTAATAAATCGTTTATTATTGTATCTTTTTTTATTATCGATATTTTACTTTCACCATAATTTGCTATCGAATAAGTGTAATTTTCCATCTTTAAACGTAAAATTATTATATATCTCGAAATATGTAACATTTTAAAAGAACAATGAATAATTTTCATTGTAGGAGTCTGCGGAGGATCGCCCGGCATGATGAGCCGGAATTCAGCAACGCCAGTATCTTGAATAGCATGGAGAAGTTCGTGCGCACCGTGAGCGAGATGGAGGACACCATCCTGGTACCTAGCCGTCTGCTGGATCTGTCCGTGGGTGATGCGGGTGATACAATCTGCATGAAGGGCAAACGCGGCTGCACAGTGAAGGATACCCTGGCTAACACCGACCTATACCGTCTCTACAATATTATTAACCAGATGAAGATCGAGTTACTGTGGTCGCAGGAGCCTACACGAGGCACTGTGGCGGACGATCAAACGCCGATTAAGAGTCATCCGATTGGTAGCCCATCTGAACTGACACACCATCAGACTATAAGCAGTGGCAGACTCGGCCATGTGCGTTGTCCCAGCACTACGTCTATGCAGAGTGTACAAAGCGCGTCCTCGATCGCCTGGACCTCCGACTCGGACTCTGAAAACGGCATTGAAATTGACAGCGGCCTAGAAGGTGAAGAATGCGTAGTCGATCTAGCAAGCATCGCTGCCGAAAACTTTAAGCGTCATCTGCGCGGTCTTCACAGCAGTATCGCCCGTATGACAGAGGCAGCTGAGTATCTGACATTGCGATATCAAGCCGATGTAGGTGGGCAAGTCTGATTCTCCGCCGGTACCATTATTATCACCATTGTTGTCGTCATCGTCGCCGCCCGTACGTCACTGATTGTGTTAGTTGGCATTGCGAACAAATATCACGTCGTCACTTTGTCATCGATCTCATGGACATTTTGGCGATTTTCGATTTCCCGAGATTGATAACAGAATTTCAGGAAACGCTGATGATGAATCGCAAAAGATTTTCTAGCGCATTAAACTAATCCATATCAATTTGTTATTTTATTAACGTATAATTTACTGTATTAAAATACACTGTACACGATTAGTTTATGTGGATGATAAAGATACGTTTCAAAATATATTTGGGACGCGCGATACGAGACAATAAATTGTCATCGGATATATAGAATTTTGCATAAATAAACTATTAATTCCCAAATAGAATTGAGAAATTACAGATAAGATACTCGTATCATTTTTGGCATAACATTAGAAAAGAAAAACGACTAATCCAGGCTTTGGTTTTCCTTATTGCCATTTGTGCGGGTTCGAGTTTTGACGATGGGTGTTGCCTGCCGTAAACGAATAGAGGCTTTCGAGATGACATGCATAAAATGTTATAGTTATATGGATAGTAAGAAGAACGGATAACTCCATCTTGAGAGAATTGGGAATTAATACGAATAAGTATTTATTTTCAACTATCCAAATGTAAATTCTTAAATTTTTCGGTCATCTTGTTAGACGAAATATTATCGAGAAACTCGTAATTCAAAGGAAGGTGATAAACAGCGACAGGACGTTTCTCAATTCAATATATTGACTAAATAAAAACTTTTACGAATATGCCGCTGAAGGACATGATGCATTTAGCATAACTTAGCGGAGGATTGTGAGACATGGCAGGTTATTGCTCACAGGACTGCAAAGTTACGACATTCGGAAAAAATCAAGAAGATAACATTATGGGAGCTAATGTTTGGTTCTGTTCTGCTTTTAATAATATAGTATATTTAGCACCAGCAGATCGAACAAAATGAAAAGAATTTAAAATCAAGGATGGATGTGATTATACATCGTTATTATATACAACCCGGGAGTGATCGCGTACCGGTCATTTTGTCGTACTCTTCCGTTTTCTATTTATGTCATTCAATTTATTGACACTATTATATTTTTATCTTTACGTAAATGTTTGTTAATGTTTTTTCGTATAGTATGAGAAAATAGATGACGTAACATGTTTATTCTACATAAAATTTGATATGTTTGTAACGGTCGATCTAAAAGACTGTAGCGCGCGCATTTACATTAATGTTTGTCGTCTCCGCCATTATTATATTTTTATAAATAAAAAAATACAATTATTATAAAATTTTCTTATTATTTCATTACATCAATAATTTCCCAGTAATTATTACGTTCCTT